TTCTAACGACTAATTACCCGCCATATTATTTAACTATAGAGTGCATCCCTGCCTCTCTGATTACCCCTTTCACCACTCGGACTGACACTTTTAATGAGCATTTTAATTTTTGTGAAATTTATTGGCCGCTAAAAACGGAATTTATTAAATGATGACCGCCGCAAAAATTAAGCCAATTGGTTATTTTAATTAGGCGTAAAACGTAACGTGACCTGGGACCATTAGGCAAATTAGTTAGTTGACCGTATTTTGAAGTAAACATTTTGTGCGAGTATTGTTGATTGATAAATTGAAATTTAATTAGATTTACTTGGTGCGGTGGGGGCAGTTGCTTGGAGCTCTCTAAAGGCTGGGAACTACGAGTATGCACATGGCCGGGGAAACTTTCGAAAATGATTGAATGTATTTTCAAAGTCACAGCTGTGGCTACAAGTTCACTTCGCTTTTCACATCCTGAACTTTTCTTTTACTTTCCACGATCTGTGGGTTTGTGGGTGTGTGGGTGTGTGGGTGTGTGGCTGTGTGGCTGTGGGACAAAGTTGAGTTTGAAAATTGTCTGCGACAGAGTAAACATATTTTACGCCCACTCAAAGAAATGACAAACTATGTGCCATGGACCCGAACCTCCATCCCGTACAACTTTGTTTGTGTCTCTTTCTATCTGCTGCTCATTCTGTCCCCGTTTCTTTCCTTACTGCTTTCGCTTTTTCTCTCTCCCTCCCACTCTTCCTGTTGTAGCACGTAAGTTTTTAGAGGCTTAATTAAGTGCATAAACTTCTAAGCAAAAATACACGCACTCTGTGCTTTCCCTTTGGCTCTCCACCTACGCCGTAACACCTTTCCGCCCATACACTCTCACACATGCAAACTCAAACTCACATAGATACTCTCACTGGAACATGCAGAGGTTTATGCTTTGGTCCTTTAGTCCTTTTTTAGCTCGTCATCAGTTGCTGCTGGTGCTGCTCCTGCTGTCGCCGACTCCTTGGGGGCGAGTTTTTGGGGTTGACGTATAAATTTGAAACGCTTTACATTGTTTACGTACTTTGTCATAGTTACAGTTACCTAAATGTGTATTAGTGTGGGTGTGTGTGTGTGTGTTCGTGTGTGTGTGCGTGTGTGTGTGTCTGTGGGCTGTAGCCCTGGCAAAGTCCTTAGCTAAAGTGTTGCAATTATATTGATTGAATTTTGTGGCAACATAGCAACAGCAGTGGCAGGAGCAGCGGCAACATCAGCATCAACATCGGCAACTGCTTGCCATCACATTACGCATACGTCACCCAGGGGAGGCATTTCTCGGGGAAAAGCAGGCAAAGCTGGGTCGGAGGGGCGTGCTAAGCCGTTTATCACCACCGATAACCGATTCACACCTTTTGGCATCCTGGGCTTTATCCCTAACTTAATCTGGGTATCGGTTCGCCAGTCGGTGGACTCAATGTGCCTGGGGAATCCGGAACAAACTGACTTCCACTTTGATTAGCTAATCTTAAGAATCAAATTAATAAAGAGAACTATTACATGCAGTTCACCTGTATGGGCCCAAGCCATGAATTATTATTAATTGAGAATATCCACAAGAGATAACAGATAAAAACGTGTGACCAATTAACAAACAATACAAAAAATCCACTTATTTGTACAATAAAAAATAGTTATTTACATATGTATGTAGGGGGGGGGGGCCCCGCCCGGGGGGGGGGGCGGGGCCCCGCCCACCGCCCGGGGGCCCCCCGCCCCCCCCTGTACATATATCTAAAATAAAATATGGTGTTAAATAAAATATACTAAAATACTTTGGAAATGTTTAAGGTTTTTTAGTTAGAAAGCTACCGTGGGTGTGATTTTTTAATTTCCCTTCTTTAATACCGAGCTTAAATTGTATTGAAGCAATCTACCTTAAAGCCGAGTTCTTTCTCATTTTACAACAAATTTATAATTATTCCGTAGAAATGTCAGGGCCAGCGCTTGTATTTGAACCCTTCACCTGTTCGCACTTTTACGAAAACGGCATATATCATGATCTATCTATCATATGCAAAAATTCTGTCAGCAGTTTTGACATTTCACGATGCGTTGTCAAAAATCAGCAAACAATTCGAATATTTGAGTGAGCCAGCTGAAATTTGCGCAAATATTTTATAAATTTTTACGGATTTTCTAATTACAATTTTCTCTGCGCATAAATTTGATGTCATGATGTTGACAGCAGCCAGTGGCAAGTAAGCTGAATGCCAGGCCGACGCCCATAAAGGTGGCAACAAAATTGTGCATACATTCACTTATTATACCATACGGCAGTACCATGTGGCAGTGTTTCCTACAGAGGCCCTCGAATCCGTTGTAAATTCAATAAACAAATAAATTAACAGAATTTGCAACAAATCGGCGGCATATTTGGTTAATTTCTAAATATGCCAGCCATCGGGCAACGGACCATATGCAAATTGCCATGGCTAAAGTACCAAAAGTATGCATTGGATTTTCTATAATAAAGTGATAAAATATTTATGCCAACACAAGGGGACTAGATTCTAGACTTTGACAATACGACATTTAGATACTCTTCTTAACATTGGATATACTAGAGGTTCTCGATTGAAAAAATCGACTTACTACTTAGAAAAGAACTGCACCAAATGGTGATCAAATCATCATGATTATATCCATTGGTATATAAATTGCAAAGAAAATCAGTGTATAAATATGGTTAAAGTCTGCATAAGCGATAAATTTAATATACAAAAATGAACTCACTTTTCATCCACTCTACATGCTTATTTCGAACCTTCATTATAAACCAACGTACCCAAATAAAAAAATTTTTAAGTATTTCTTTTCAGTCAGTTCAATGAATTTACATCTAGAAAATGGCTGTCCACAAATCTTGCGTTACCTATTGAAGCGAGTAATGAAGTCACCTAACCATCTGGCGAGCGCATTCACCATTCAGAGTAAGGATTGTGTGCAAGACAAACTTGCAGTTCTACCTGGTTGTGATATTTGCATAGGCCGCGCATTTTGTGATTAACAGCTTCCCAAATACAATTACAAAATTCATGATTGCATTCGAGACTGGGTAAGTGGATGTGTGTGTACATCTGTGTGTGTGGGGTAAGGGTGCGGGTGCGAGTTCATTGTATGGCTCAATAATTACGTTGTATTTATTCGAAACAGTTTTCCGATAGCTGCCGCAGGACTGGCTGCCAGCCCGATTGTCTTCCTCCCATCCCACAATCCATGCACACGAGTATGCCATTTCCAGCATAATTATTGCAATTTATTTCGTTGCTAAAATCTAAGCAAACTATTTACAAAGCATATTATACAATCGCCCACCCACACGATGTTTACATTGATCTGCTGCAAATTGCATGAAGTGTTGTCGATTGGATGGTTGGGTCTATGATTTGAATTGGAATCAGGATTGGGGCCGGCAACTTCATTATACAGAGACCACCCCACCCCATATTCCATTGAGCGAGTTTATCCATCAAAATGCATTGTCGGATTTCGGATGAATATTTTGTCGGGTTTGCAGTTTAATTTTATGGTTTGATTTGGCTCAGCTCTCGGAATATGTATACAAGTATTAATGCTTACGGTTAGTTTAGTAATACAAGAGCTGTGCTAATTAGTGCAGCTCAAACCGCAGTCGAATGCCCATGGGGATTATCAATTGGCTTTTGGATGTCTGTCCGTTTCATGGTTTTTCCCCATAATTCTCAATCAGTTTGTCTGGACTTTCTCATATATATTTATTAATATTTATTGGCTTAGAAGTTTGACAAAAATTGTATCAATGAGACGCAGACACAAACAGAAGACAGATCTCTAAGCCGCTTAAACTAAGTTGAACAAAAGGAAACCCACTTGCGACAGACAGAGAATATTTGTACATATGTACTTATATTTTTATATAGACTTATATATCTGGCCTCAGTGCAGCCATCTGTCTGCGTAAAAGTTTCACTGGCAAGCGATAAGTTTTCTAAAGCCGCATCAGAAAACGACCACAAAGCCGTGGATATTTGTGGGCATTTTTTGGTTCAGTTTCAGTACAAAGTACTCACAGAGCAGTGCTATGAGATTCAACCTGCCACACCTTAAGCCGCTTGTGGCCAATTATTATCGAGAGCCTCAATTAAATGTTGCTATTGTCCATGGCCTGAATCGAACAGAAATCCCCATAAACTTTTGAAATTCAGGTGTCGCTGCACCATCCAGAAGGGAGCACGAAACGCTTAATTAAATTTTAAATGAATGTAAAAGTTTTCCCCGAGCAGCAGACCTTATCTAGGCAGGCTGAAACTTTAAAGAGATAGTAGGCCTCCCCGAAACTAGTGGCAACTTTTACGGCTCAGTCTGTAAAATAGGACTCTTGCTCACCTTGAGTCCGAAAACTTTTCTTGGCATCCATTTCTTAGAATATATTTTTTTTTTCACAACTAAACACCTTTGTCTGCTGATTGTGTAGGTGGGTAATGCTTGTTCTCGGACCATTAAGAAAGGGTTTAAACTTTCGCTTTGGGGCTATAATTAGAATACGCAATTAAACGGGACATAAAATATATAAACTATATGTATGTATTCTTTCGTTGTGGAAGGAGAGATGTAAAATTGAGAGGAAAATTTCAAGTAATTGAATCGTCGAGATGTCGAATTGACTTCTGAATAGACTACTATATCACTGATATATTTAAACAATAAATCACTTCAGTTACTTTAATGCTGTTTTGGATGTTCTTAATCTACGGTTTCATTAGCTAGAGCACTGAAAGTCTGGATGTTGTAATGGGGTAATCCCAGACTTCGTGTACTTCTTAAGAATGTCAATCACGTTTCCCCTGTTGACTCTTCTATAAAGCAGTCGGTCCCTTCCTGCTCAGGCATCGGTGACCTGACTGCGCCTCAAATTGCCAGTGAGATGAACAATCATATCAAGAGAGAGCGGCAACCATGAACCTTTCACATGAACAGTTTGATTTTCATTACCAAAATAGGACGAAAGGGCATCAGAGGGCAGGAGTATTGCCAGTCAGATGGGAGCGCTCAGGGAGAGTGCTGCAGCAGTTGCAGTTGGTTGAGGTTGTGGTTGGAGGAGGGGTCCTGGAGGTTTGGGTTCATTTCTTGTCCGCATCAGCAGCGGCATCGATGCTGGTGTCCTGGGCGGCATCCCGGCTCAATGTGCTGTGGCAAGGAAGCCAGCGAAGCAAATTGTTTTTAATTAAAAGTAAACAATTTCAATTCATTCGACAGTTATCCTGTTATGCTGCTGACATTGCTGGCTGGCGCCATAGACGCCAACGTGTCCAGGACCTCCTCCATTGCATTTTCTGCTAGGAGATACTCGTTGTTTGAGAGTTCAAAGTAGGACTAAGGGAGAGGAAGAACAAAAACTATCAAGTGGCATCGCAGCGACTTTGACAGGGCCTGTCCACTTATACTAGTATTTTAGCGCAAACATTTTCGCACTGAGACCCACTCGCCGTCTACGATTTTCTGCGATTATTAATTGTCTTGTCTCGCTTAACGGGGATTATTTCAAACTCTTCTTAACTCTCCTCCTGCAAGTTGTGCAACTCTTTCATATTTTATTCGAAACTTTGTTGTGCTTTCTTTTAATTGGCCTGAGATTTGCCGAAGTATTTTTTCGATTTCTTTTATTATGTTTTCCGTTTTTAATATCGTAAACGAATTGATGAAGCAGCAAAAAGTTAAATCCAAAATTTATATATTTTTAAACAGTTTTCTGTCTGTTATTTTTGCTGGATTAAGAAAAGTTTTTGTGTCTGCAGTTCATTCGATTCGACATTGATAGATTGATAGTGATTGATAGAAAATATAACAGAATTCTGGAACAACTGCGCTGCGCTTTTTCTGTTACTCTGAATATGTATTAAAAAAGTAAGTCAAAGTGGGTTTTGCTATTGTAATTATTTGTGATTAGGGTTTTTCCTCACTTATACTCAAAGAGTCACACAGTATAGAACGATCTGGAGAATTCACAATCAATTCGAGACTTTCCAAAATCTGAACTGGGGAAGCCCCCCCTTGAAAGTAAGGCTCGAACTAAAAACCCTGAGGCTATGGGACAGTGATGATACTGTACCTTAGAAAGTCTTCTACGTGTTTCCCGTCAACCTTACTTACAATCTTCCACCCGTACCGCTGCACAGCGTCCAGGGCAGGCCAAGAAGTAGGACACAGAACGGGGCACAGGGTCAGGAGCAACAGCCTCTATCCAGGTCTAGTTTTCCAGGCAACGGAATCCGTCTTAGCCGCGAGATGAACGAAATGATGCTCAATCCAGTGGACGGTTGCCAGGTGGAGTTCGTTGGGGACGATACACACCACTGGTTGGCCACCATTCTTGGCCCTTCTGACACGCCCTATGAGGGAGGACATACTCAGTTGGACATATTATTCCCAGAGAACTACCCGGTTGGCCCGCCTAAAGTACAATTTCTAACTCAAATGTACCACTGCAACATCTGTGGTGACGGCCTTCTATACCGGGATATACTATCGAATAATTGGACGCCGGTTCTTACTGTAGAAAAAGTGCTCCTATCGATCAGGACGCTGCTAGCAGCTCCCAACCCTGACGACCCCTTGGAAATACTCGTGGCCAACATGTACAAGGCGGACCACGCGCAGCACGACGAAATCGCCAGGGAGTGGACCACACGTTACGCCACTCCCGAGGCATTTTAAATTATAGTTTATTTATACATAATACACAGTAATATGATTATCGTACACAGATACATACATACAAATATTAACTTATATACAATTTGTTGAAGATCACAATAAAAATATATACTGTATTCTACAGAATATATTTGGTCATACTATTCCGATGGATAAGATGGTTGGTGATTGACCGAATTCGTGGTAACCCAGTCGAAGTTTTGTTCATTGTGTTCAGTTTGTATCTGTAACGACATAAAAATTTAATTTGAGAAATATACAAAAATGTGTCAGAAATCCTTGCCTGATGGCTTCTTCTCGAGCTTATCTTCTGCCATTGAAGGTACATTAAGAGACAAATGTACGTGTATTTCTTAAAATCCTATTAAAATGTTCTAGTTATAAAAACGTGCAATTGATTTATTTCGTATTTAATGGCTTCATTAAAACATTTCTCTAATATTTGTCGGCAATAGATAATTTCATAAAATGAGTGTGTTTTTCAGTACATACATATATCATTTAATAAATCACAGTGATCTATTTCACATTCCATTTTAATAAATCTTCACTACACAAATAAATAGATATGATAAAATATATTTAGAAATTTAAGTACCAGTTCAATGCTTTTCTTGCCCATCAGTTAATATTTTGAACTGACTATTATTGGTGTTTGTACGGAGGGAAACACCTCCTAGTACCGTTTCCATTATACATTTTGCTTGAGGAGCGGGTGCAGGCAGGCCAGCATCATCAGCATTATGAACGAAAATACATGTATGTGTGTATGTACTATATGACGGGGTGTGTTTGTCCGTCCTCCATTTTCCAGTCGCGTTCGGCCTTGTTCTCCTCCCCTTCCCAGTCTTTGGCTGGGGCATTGCCATGACTATGTTCCGACTGAAACTGCCTCCGTTTGTTCTCTTCCTCTCTGTCTGTGGGTCCAACTATTTATTTTTATGACTTTATGTAGCTACAGTTTGTTCTGACACTGTGTTGGTGTGCTGCCATGCTGCCATCCAAATATGTGAAAATTGCTCATTTCAAATGTCCCCAAAGCAGTATCATGAGGGGGGACGGGCGGACAGGGCAGATATGTTTGTAGGCAAATTGCCTGTCAAAAATTTGTAGACAATTTCTATGTTTTTTCGTATGTTATTATTGTTCTTTTTGTATATTTTTGTACTGATGTGTACATTTTCTGATGCTTATCAGAAATGTTTGACGCAATTTTAGTAATAAAACCTGAGTATGTGTTTATTTTCCGAGCACACACAGTCTGAGGGTACCAGCACCAGAAGGAGTGTTATCGTATTAACAAGAATCTAAAACATTTGAATTCCAGCAATTTATTCGAATTATGAAATTAAACCCGAAGTAGTCCACTGATGGCAGTGAATATCATCATATGTCGAAGGTTATTGTATGTTTTTGGGCATTGCAGCATACAGAAAACAAAAATTAAAACAAATTAATATTTAAATTTGTAGGAAACATTTTATGAAATTCTCTTGCCTGAACTTGTGTCATCCCACAAAGTTTAAAAATAAATATTTTATAATTTTTGAAAACATTCTTCTACAACGAGCCTTCAAACTCCCATACGAACCCGGACCCCTCCTCCAAATTATAATTTCTATTTTCAGCCCCATTTGCACACAAACTAGGAATCCATTGTGCTTAAATGTGTATATTCCCCATGCAAATCAATTTTGAGGCTAAACTTTTCCTGCAACTTTCCCATATGGTGGTATGAGTACAAATGCGGAAAATGATTTTTCGTACACTCTGTCGACTTCTGGGGCATTAGAGAACCTAATGAGTTCGAAGCGAAAGTCAAATCAATTAGTTGGCAAATGATGATGAATGAATGGACTGCCACTGAACAGCAAATTCTCCTAAAACTTTATATTTTAAAGAGCAGGAAGGAACTTTTGTCGGAATATGAATGTAAAGAGGTCCCCAAAGGGACGGAGGCTGAGAAGTCCGCCCGCTGTTGCTGTTGCTATTGCTGTTGCTGTTTTCGTGCCTATCACGCCTCTTGTGTTGCTGGCATTTTCTATTTTCCCCACTTTTCCTCCATCCATCTCTTCCTTTTCCTTTTATGCCATGCAGCTGGATAATCTTGGGCAGTTTTATGGTCTGGCAGTTGAGTATACTGACTATGTGGATGAAAAGGGATGGGAGATATTTGCATGGATTGTATGGATAGACAAACATAACACTAGAATATACTGGTCACTCGTACAAGTTCAATTTAAACTCTCTCGAATCTTTCACTTTAATTATGCAAAGAATCTGTGCCAAAATATTGGTATTACAAGCTCCTGATATCATTTTGGGAGCATTAAAATTTTTTTTGTGTCCACAAAAGAGCATTTCGATTTGTCCTATGCCCAGTGAACTGTGTCCATCTCGTTTCTTCTTGTTTTATCCCTGGGCTGCTTTGTATGCAGCGCCTGCTATCAGTTGTTGGATTTTCAATAGCCGAGTGCACTTTTGTGCCTCAACGAGCCCAAAAGTAACACTCGAGAGCGCGGGTCTCGAGGTACTATCAACAAGAGCAACAACAGCAGCAGCCCCAGAAGGAAAACCAAAAAGAAAAAAGGAAAAACATATTCAAAATGCCAGAGCGCTGGGGGAATTGCATAAAATTCTGGGAACTTGCTTAGAGAGGCGGCTTTAAAAGGGAGCCCTTGATGATGGAGCTGGTCCTCGCTGGGCCCCACTCTCAAAGGCTGGATGTAATTTGCTGTTTGAACAACTTGTCGCTGGTGACATTTTGGCAGAGCCTCAACTTGGGTGGGGATTGGGTGGTGCCGGGCTGTAGGGCGTAGGGGAGGTCGTAGGTTGGGTACCGCCTAACTAACTTCCTGAACATGGCTGATGACTTGTACGAGTCCTGTGCCCAGTCCCTCACACACTCCACCTCCTGAACATCCATGCTTCTGACTGCAGCTCTTCAATCTTTTGTCTTGCAAACTCGTGTGCGGACCACGTTGTCATTGACATACTCCGCCAAATGACAACAGCCTGGGTTGCAGCTAGAGCTACAGCTCCAGCGACAGCGACAGCTCCTGCTTCAGCAACGGCGACTGTTGATGTTTGAGTTGCAGGCGGCAACTATAGCAACTGACATTGGATGTGGCTAACGGCCTCGGCTCAGCTATGGTCTGGATAGATCCAAGACCGGTATTCGGCACAAAGCTGCAGCTAGCAAAATGTTGGGCAATGCACAGTTATAGATATGTACATCACGGTTGGCTCGGCTTCGGTGTCGGTTTTCGTCTTTGGTTTTCTTTTCTCTTTTTCGTCTTTTTTTTTTAAAGCCTGTGTATCAATCCGACAACGTGCCACTTGTTAACGCACAATGGACTTCTTTTCACAACGTTGATTGATATGCCTTGTCAGGGGGGTAGCGAGAAGGTGGTTGGGGACTGAAAATTTGGTGTGGTTTTTGGACTACCAGTCGACTTTGTCGAGGCTTCTGTGTGGATGTGGGGTTAGGGATGTGCTTTAAATCATGCCTAAAAATCAGTTTTAAAAGATCAAGCAAGAAAGGCTGTAAAAGAACTGCATTGATTGGGGATAAACGGTGGAAAATGTACGAAAATTATGCCACTATCTGCATTTTTATCGTAGAGTTTGTCGACCTGGCTCATACTTTGAACTATTTAGGCGATGTGATGACACGATGCACTATAGCTTTTTCTAATGGCTGCATGGGATTTCTAAGACGGAAAAGCATCTTAAAAACATTTTCTGACCATAATTACCGTCAATCAATTAAAATGGAATACCCCCACACCATCGGAAATGATTTCTTTCGTATCATTTGAGTTGATCTCGTACAATATTTTCCTAACAATTTCGTCAAACCTTGAGTGAGCATAATGAGATCGCTTAGTCTGCTCTCATATCCCATTACAAACAACAAATCACCCCACCCTTCCACCCCGCAGCGACCTTCAAGCTCTTGTATGAGTACTCCAAAACTTTTTATACCTATTCCCATTTTCAACGGGTGGCGGCACCTTTTTAGAGTATGTTAGGAAAATATTGACAGAGCTATTATGTAGCGTGTACGAATTAATAGCAATGACAAGGTAAACACTCAAAACACTCACACACCCATGCATGGGTTGAATACTCTCACACACACGTACACAGACGCACACTCTATCCATGTGGGGAAGAGATGTCTTTCAGGTGCGAGCTTTCTCTTTTAGTAAATCTCTTAAATGCTGTTTGCATGTTTGTACGTGTCTTTGTTGGCAAATTAACACACACACACACACACATTCAAAGGGGGCATACGTAAGCCTACACAAACATATACACAGCCAGGGCAAACAAAAAGCATAGCCTACCTATGCGGGCGGCGTATTTATTTACGCCTTTGAGTGGTTTACGCCCAGCTGCCTTCCAGCTATCTATACCCCTCGCAGTCCCTTCCCTTTTCCACATGTCACTCGCCAGTTTTCATGGCTTTTTTATATGCGCACACATACACATATATATATATTTGTTTTTACTTTACACTTTTACAAACAGTTTTTTAAACAACTTTGGCGGAGTGCGATCTGAATGGAATGGGCAAACATTTACGAGTATGGGTGAAATTGCAGCCGCGGCTCGTGGTTCCTTTGAGTAATTGGTTCAGGGCTTTGGTTATGGGTTCCATTCATGCATTCCTAGCTTTAAGCTGACAATCTTCTTTCAAATATTTTTCAAAGAGTGCTCCAGTTTAAGTCTAGATTTAATCTGTGAATGCAGACCCTGATTCGATTTCCAAGCAGATTTGAGTTTATGTTTGCAAATTGTATTTCCGTCTAGAAATTTGGATTCGCAGTTCACTCCATTTTTTTCGTTTTTAATATATTTATATTTATTTTTCTATGTTCATTATTCAACTTTGAGTTTTATTTTTAAGTAAAAAAAAAAACCTATAATAACTACGATCCCTGATATTCTCTGAATTTGATGTTTCTCTGCCTATCAAAAAACTCTTACCCACTGAGTATTCACATCCAAAAATGTGTTTGCACATTCTTTTGATGCTCCATCCCTGCGACGAAGCATGGTGTATGGAATTCCATCCTTCCATTCAAGCGGCTTCTGCTTCCTTCATTCATTAGCCAG